CGTCACATTATAACGCCCCACGGCTGAAAGGGCGAGCATGTTTGGTGTGACAGGGATTCGAACCCGCGACCCTCAGATTGCGAGTCGAGTGCCCTAACCACCTGGCCATGCCGGGCCAGTTGTTATAAATGGAGTTCAGTCAAACTGGATTAATGCCACAAGTGCGGTAGCTCAGGTCTCAGTCTTAGAACTTTTACTGTTTTTGATTTGTATCAATGGCATATATGAAGGAATGGTCAATAAATTATATAAATTTGCTGATGATATTAAGGTCTTGGATGTTGCTAACTGTGAAGAGGATGCTGCTGCTTTACAAAAAGGATTTAGATCATTTAGTGAGTTGGACAAACACATAGTAGATGGGTTTTAATCATAATAAGTACAAGATAATGCATGTGGGTTATTATAATTTAAATTATGAGTATAGTTTGGATGGGAATAACCTTAACAGTGTCATAAAAGAAAGGGCTATCTTAAGTCACCCAAGCAGTGTGCTTTTGCTAGTAGTAGAGAAAATAGGATTTTAGGTTGTATCTATAGAAATACTGAATGCAAGTCTAAAGATAATATAATTTCATTGTATATGTCACTGGTTAGGCCACATTTGGAGTATTATGTTTAGTCTTGGTTTCCTCACCTTAGAAAGGACGTTGAATTGTGTGGAAAGGCTCAGAGGAGGGTTACCAGAATGGTCCCTAGGATGGAGGGGTTATCATATGAGAAGAGATTAAGATCTCTGAAATGGTTTTCTCTTGAAAATAAGAGTTAAAAGGGATCTGATTGGGGTGTTTAATATAGTAAAGGTGGATCTGATTGAGGTGTTTAAGATTGTAAAGGGAACTGATAGTGTTGATGCATCATCTTTTTCATACTTAACGGCGAGAATAGTAGAACTAGGGAACACAAATATAATTATGGCAAGGTAGGAGTCATCTTTAACTAAGACAATTTTATTTTTCTAAGAGGGCGGTTGGCCTCTGCAGTAGGTTACCTTCGGATGTTGTGGAGGCAGAAAGTTTAAGTGAGTTTTGCTTGTTTGTTTGAAATTTGTTTGAAGCTACACAATGTGCTCTATCACCATGGATATCGAAACCCGGTTTCTAGCGTTGTAATTCCGCAGACATACCGCTGTGGTATTAGGGGCTTAAGTGAGTTTAAGAGAAAGTTTAATAACTATATGAATGATAAAGGGTGGTTTTAAGATTTTTACTTTATTTATATTTGTATTTGATAGTTATAGTTTACTTTAGAGGACGGGACAGCTGAGATAGGTCCCTTGTTGTCCCTACACACATTATGTTATGTTAAGAGTCATCCAGTCCATCGTTTCTAGCAAGACACTTTTTTTTATTTACAATCTTTTTTGTTGTTGTTTTTTAAGATTCTTAACGTAGGTACATTAATATATAGAATTTTACATGGACTGTTCTCAACGTTAAAATACATTTCTTTTATTTGCGATCTTTCGGCCCTCTTACCGGAGCCTTCATCGGACAACAATATATATTATATATATGTAGCAAAATAATAACAACACAATAAAGTATTTTTTTAGGGTAATTCCTGGGTTTTTTACAATACAGACGTTTAACCCAGAATTTTTTATAGCTTTGCGAAAACGCTTAGTGAGGGGTTCGTCATGGTTTTCTATTCTGATTTTTCAAGACATCAGTTGGGATTAGGAGAATTATCAAATAGAATCAGAACGCGGACCCCGTGGGCCAGTGCCCAGCGACGTCTTTGACATACAAAAAGACTGACTTACAACTTCCAATATGGAACACATTAGTGATACACACAAACGTTTCACTATTTAAGTTGTACACTGAATCAACGTTGCTTTATATTGTATTCTTACGACAAAACACTGGTATTTCTTTTGATCTAATTACTTTGGTAAAAAATAACTCAAAATTATATTTCATATTAAATTTATTTTTACAAGCGAAAACAAACTTTATATGTAAAGTAAAGTAGCGTTTTGTGAAATAATTTGAAGTATTTTTCGTTACAATGATGTGAATAACGGCATAGAGTAGTTATATCAAGAGAATGATAGTACTATTCTCTATTCTAAATGCATTGTTTTGAAGGTATCTGACAGCAGATGAGACTACACAGAAACCACCATACAGCTCCAATAATAAAATCAATATCTTATATGATATATACCAAGTATTCTAACAATGAAAACTCGGAACTGATTTCATAGATATGTTCTAAATGATTTTTTTTTCAGGAATTGAAAGACAGGGAGTCTGCAAAATTAGAGAACATATTTTTCTTAAAGTAATGTTCTCTAGGTACTGATATGTTTCTGTTGAAGTGGTATATCATTGGGGTTTCGTAAAAAGGGCTCCAAAATGTTACTCTAAATAAAAGGACAGAGTAATGTTCTCATCCTAGGATGCCATTTTTTTAGAGTTTCAGCTTAAAAACTATTAATTAAAAAGTGATACAACCCATTTTAATAGCAATAGGTATTGTGACTTTCCCATAAAATACAGTATAATAATCATTAGAACGCTAAGACAATGGAAATAGAAATTATAAAAAATTACAAATTATTCTTAAGTGAACATAATAAAATGGTAATTGATCAAAAACATAACGATCACTTTGAAAGGAAAAACAGTTCTTTCAAAACACTCGTATAACTATTAGTTAAGTGATGTTATATTACCAAACGCTAATGTATTTTGTGCAGTTTAACCTATTTTATTTTCAACATCACAGAATATAGAAAAATGGCCAAACATAAATATTAGTTGCATGTTTTAGTCTCTTGTTCCGCGACTTTTACAGCATAAAGTTGTTATTCTTATTCTTGTGTGAACCCCGTACAATTGCTACAGTGTGTAGGTTAACGTTTTAGATATTTAGTGCGTGTGTGTTGGTTAAGCACAAAGCTACACAAAGGATTGGCTATCTGTGATGTACCCACACGGTATCTAAACCCTGTTTTTGGAGTTATAAGTCCTCAGACTTACCGCTATGCCAGTGGGGAGAATGTGTGTATGTATGTATATTTTTTACATTTTGTTATATAAGTTTATACCTCCTTCATATAGCTTAAACTTGACTGCTCTGACTATTTCAACATATATTGAATTGTCTGGTTTGTTCTGCACGTACACGTGTGTGGTACGTGCTCAGAAAACTAAACTTTTTACAGCCTACGTATACATCTGCGTGTGGAGAAAGACGATCAGCCTATTGTCATGCGCGCCTAGTATGCAAAACAACTTATTTAAAAAATTGTGCACCAAAATTATAGAGATGTTTCTGGAGATATATATATATACATTCTAAAATCTAAAAATTAGTTATACAATTTTCCTGATGTAAAAGATATTCATTAATGCTGTGGCCAATTCGGTGAACTTATTATATTTGTATGTGGTAAATGTGTGTGATTTTTGGAACGAATTGTTAGACTATTTATCTAAAAAGGCATATGAAAGTTCAAATAAGCAACTCAAACGCATAGAAAAGTGTATTTATATTTAGAGTAAAAAAAAGAAATAAAGAATAAACTTATTAGTGTATACAAAATATGATTACCAATGGAAATGCTGGACATCTTTTATTACAATAAACTAAACTAAACCCCTAATACTTTGTAACACCTGTATAACAGTGTAGTTTGTTAGTGTATACAAAATATGATTACCAATGGAAATGCTGGACACCTTTATTACAATAAACTAAACTAAACTAAACCACTAATACTTTGTAACACCTGTATAACAGTGTAGTTTGTTAGTGTATACAAAATATGATTACCAATGGAAATGCTGGACACCTTTATTACAATATAATCCAAACCACCAATACTTTGTAACACCTGTATAACAGTGTAGTTTGTTAACACAATCACTTAAAGTCATTCTTGGTCATAAACTGTTTCCAGACAACTTTCGAAAGTCCACACTACCTATCATATTACTGGCCTCAGAGACAGAGAGCTACAAATACGGTAGAAACAGTTATTCACTATATATATATATATATCCTTCACCTATTTCTCACAAATCATTGAATTAGTGATTTACGTTAGCTTAATTTTTAAATAGCTTTTAGGGAAATTAATTAAGCTACAAACAAGATGTTTTTTTTGTGTTGTTATTTTTTGTACTAGTTCAGATAGTTAAACCCTTTAGCTAAATCGCCAACTCTTAGGCTACTCTATTCGAAGAGTGGAATCCGACCATCACCCTGAAAGTGCACCACACACTCTAAAGTGTGGTGAGTGTTTTGCGGCAGCAGGCTCCTAACCATGAATGTTTGGATTCACAGTCAAAGTACACTAACTACTGAGCCACGTTCAAGAGAGTATTTTTCATACGCATAACTATATGGCTAATTTGAAACTAAGGCACCCCACATTAAAGTAAGCTTATAATTGTTTTGATATTCCCTAATTTCATATAAAATATGTCATCATTGTTATTGAATTATATTTACTCTGCTGAGTGGTACTTACAACACTAACAATAGGGTTTGTAAACTTTAAAGTTTCCATGTGGATTTTGCATTTCTCAACTATTATAATTAGATAAAAATGTGATGAAAATATCAAAAACCAGTATTACAAAATTCTTATATATAAGAGTATAACTTATAATAATTGCATTGTTTTGCTTGTAAGCCATAGTAAAAAAAAAAAGGAATAGTATTACTAGTACCTACTAGATGGCAGGATAAGCCACTGACACTACGGGAAGTTAAAATTGAGAGGGAATAGTTAGTGCAGCAGGCAACTTAAAACCCCCAGTGTTAGGGGAGATTACGTAAAGTAAAGAAGTCTGTGTTTATCCATGTATCTCTTGTGTTACATAATGATTAAGTTGTTTATCCTTGGAGTTCTTTGTCAAGGTAAGATCTTTTTGTTTATTTCTAGACAAGGAACTTCCGTAACGACTTTTATTTCTGTTGTATATCCTTTTCTGCGTACATGTTATATGTGCATACAACCAAACGATGTGGTCTGAGAGTACGTCACGTGCGCGCACTCTCACGAGCAGGAATGATTACTCCCGTCACAAGATTGCCGCAATATCTTAATTCAGACGAAGAAATATAATGTTATTTTGTTTCTTTATGATCATTTATTTCTTTGAGTCTTCATAAAATTGATATTTATTGATTGATTTCGTTATTTATTACTTCCCGTTCATACACATAGAAAATGTTGGAAACATTTCAATACATACAAAGTTCATGTAGTTAGTCTTGTCACTGTAGTACTGTTATCATTGTATACATAGCATGTACTTTTTCTGACTAGTCATCTTATTATTTATTTTTTTGAATTTTTGTTTGATATTTAAACAACTGTCCTTTTATTATATTAATTTTACTTGGGTTTTAGAACAACCTTTGTCACTATAATTTAAAATATAATTATTTTATAATTTTTTCTGTTATACTTACTGTAGAATAACAAAGTTTAAGAAATTTTCTTTGACCTTCCTTTGCATAATTTGTTTATGCTTTAGTTATTTGTTACTTTTTTGAGATCTACGAAACCTGTGATATTTACCGTTATATAATCTACGATATAAGTACTGACAACAAAATTCATTTCGTTCAATAATTTTGAGAAAAAGGGAAACGACGAATGCACAGATATATATGTTTTAAAGAAATTAATTTTAGTTGAATTTCGCTTATTAACGGCATTTCTTACTAAACAGTTTGCAATAAGGTGATTAAATTCTGTTTTGCAATTTTGAACTCAAACGTACACAAACAACTTCATTAGAAGTTCCCAAGTAATAGTAGATTGGACCAGCTTCGATCTGCAATAATAACATGGACATGTCATTTGAAAAATTCTACAAAACTTCGAAAGGTATCTAATGTTGTTTGGTTGTACTCCATTCTTAGAAGAGTAAAGTTTAAAATTGATTCACAGACATCACCATGTTTTAAAGTTCACTACAAACATAATCAATCACATTCAAAATCGGTAATTAAGTTAGCAAAAAAAAAAAAAATGGCTGAAGTCACTGCCATGTTTTTCGAATCAATTTTGAATAATACAAGCGCTATGGCTTGTTATATTTTCGTATAGGAAATGCACCAACGAGGGCTGGGCAACAACAATCACCATGGTACAGAATCAAAGGGCTCAACTCTTGCTATTAACATGCTTCCCAAAGTGTTACATCACTTTCAATCATTTATAAATGAAGGACAATACAAGCACGTTCAAACGCTCTATATATTCGTTCTCATTTCTTTGATACACCATCAGCCCTCCAATGAATCAGCGATATGACTGAGGACTCACACTGCTAAAAATCGGGTTTTGATACACGTGGTGGTCACAGCACAGATAGCCAATGTATTCATTATCCACACCCATTAATATTGTTTTCGGACAGCTTTTTTAATTTTTTTTTTATTTGCAAATTACGGTTGGAGTTACTCCGACACTGATATATTTTGAAGGAATCTTGTCTGAAGCACTGTCCGACTCATTTTATCATTTTACAAGCCTGCCCAGTCACATCTTGCCATGATCAATCGCTAGGACTTAGCGGCTACAGTTTTTCTTAATCGTAGATTTTTTTTTCTATTTTGTTGCTAGATTCCGATAACAAATGTCTTCAAACAGTCAATCAATGTAATGTTCTTTGATAATGATTATTTTGATGAGCCACTAACATCTTTAAACGGTGAAATGTTCTTTTGCTAGATGAGCCACTAACATCTTGCGTTTTGAAAATCGTAGTGATCGTTCTCTTACCCATTGTCTTGAAGACTAACCATCGTATGACTGCCACTCTACAATTATAGGACAGAGTGCCCTTCAGATACATCATGTGATTAGTAAAAGCTGCATATCCAAATAAATGTGGGGTTATATAATTATATATGTGGTCATAATGATGTAGTCACTCGGTATATTTACAACCATTGTTTAACAGATGTAGTGCCGACTAACATGTATTGTACAGTATGCAAACAACCATGACACAAATTATGCAATTAATATATTTAACAAACTCTGATAATCGCTTCCAAAGAATCCTGTAAAACGAACTGCTTCTTACTGTTTATCAGTATATAACCACATCAATATTTCAGAAAATAACTGCGCTGGAAACAATAAAATTCCGAAGTTGAACAAAACGTTTCTCATTTATTAGTTCTAGTAGTTTCACAAATTTTATATCATTCACAAACAAGTTCCACACCAATGACTCAGCGGCTTATAACACTAAACATTGAGTTTCAATACCTTCAGTGGGTACAGCATAGATAGCCTCTTGTGTGGATTTGTACTTAACAATAAACAAACACAAAAATAATTGTACTTATCTTTATAGGAATAGATATTGGTGTAACGACACAATTAAATAACATAAAACCATATTTCTTAAATTTTTTTCAAGTAAAATGTTTCAAGTGTTTCCAACTACAACACATTATTTTAAATTATGAATAATTTTCAGTTTTATATACAGTTACTGAATATAGCACATTTTAGGGTTTCTTACAAGCGTAACACCTCACTGAATCTTGAATGCCAACATAATAAGGTCGCGGGTTCGAATCACCGTCACACCAAACATGCTCGCCCTTTCAGCCGTGGGGGCATTATAATGTTCGGTCAATCCCAAGGGTTAGCGGTGGGTGGTGATGGCTTCCCTCTAGTCTTACACTGCTAAATTAGAGGACGGCTAGCGCAGATAGCTCTCGGGTAGCTTTGCGCGAAATTCAAAAACAAACAAATACAGTTTAGAACATTTAAATGTATTGATATTAAAGCACTTATGGAAAGCTGAATCAATATTTAGATGTAAAAATTATTTCTTGTAATTATTTTAACATGTTTACAGTTCATATGCCTGTATTTCAGTATACCAATTGCATATTATAACGAACGCTTTTTTTTTTTTACTTTTACAATGCTGCAGATACAACTAAATCAATACTGTATTAAATTGTATTATTATCTTACAAAGCAAGATTAAAATTCCAAGCACATTATTCTTTTATAGAACTCATAATATTTTTGGGGGGATATTTTGAAAAATAAATAGGAAAAAATGAAATATAATTTGTGTTTTATTCTTAAAATAACAATAATAGTCCAGTGAAACAATAATTTATATCGGCAACTACATAAAACAGGAAGTGAAAATACTTTTTTTTTGTCACAAGTATAAAGAATAGCCTTTTTCTTATGTAACAGAAAGAAATTGATTTGGTTCAGCTAAGGAAATTCAGTACTCATATGTAAAATACCAGAAGAGCCTTTAATGGAAATTTAAATTTGTCGTAATTTTTTCAACTAAAAATCCATGTCTATGTAATTTAGGAAATACAAGTATTTTAGAAGCCTATATTCAAATCATTTCATTTTATTCTGCTAAATAATGTTACAATCCTTGTCATTCTACAGTAATAATATTGCGATGTTAATGCTGCCTTCTTGCGTGATATGAGCCTACATTCAACTCAATAGATTGATTCTGACAAGAAATATTATATTCCAGATCGTATTTCAAACACTGCAAAAATGAGAGTCAGCATATTTCAAGCATTTATTTCGTGATTCTTTAGCGTTTGATGCTCTTCAGAAAAAATAAGCGTGGCATCTAATGTTTCTCTGGTTTTTCGAAAGTAGCCCCATTGTTGATATAACTTTTCACTTAGAAAATGTGCCATATTTAGTAACGCAGTGGAAAATGGCTCAGGTTTCTGTCTGACTTTGTTTCTACTGCATCAAAAAAGAAATAGCACTTTATATTACTCTAAATGGTATTTCAGATGTAAAGTGGCAATATAGCCATACATCCTTCATTTACATTAAATAACAGAGTAGTGGCTTGTGTGATTCGTGCAATTCCTGCTAAAAACTCAATGATACTCGTAGACAGTGGTAAGTTTTTGTATTTATACACGAGTAAATAAATACTAAAATTATTTAACTCTATAGGGGATGTTTCCAAGCTGTGTCTTGTGCAATATTGATGAGATCAGTACATTAATCAATACTGTACTATGCGGTATTGATGAGATCAGTACATTAATCAATACTTTACTATGCGGTATTGATGAGATCAGTACATTAATTAATACTGTATAGCGCGATATTGATGAGATCCATACATTAATCAGTACTGTACTATGCGATATTGATGAGATCAGTACATCAATTAATACTGTATAACGCGATTTGATAAGATCAGTACATTAATTAAAACTGTACTATGCGATATTGATGAGATCAGTACATTAATCAGTACTGTACTATGCGGTATTGATGAGATCAGTACATTAATTAATACTGTATATCGCGATATTGATGAGATCAATACATTAATCAATACTGTACTATGCGATATTGATGAGATCAATACATTAGTTAATACTGTATAACGCGATTTGATAAGATCAGTACATTAATTAAAACTGTACTATGCGATATTGATGAGATCAGTACATTAATCAATGCTGTACTATGCGATATTGATGAGATCAGTACATTAATTAAAACTGTACTATGCGAGATTCAGGGATATATATATACAATGGCGCCCCTGCTTTATACGTTTAAATGTCGAAAAGCAAACATCTGAATATTCAGCATAATGAGTTTTTACGCCTAAAATCCTTTATAAAAATTAAACTAACTGCAGATTTATTTTTCACATTCCTATAAATTTTTCCATTATGGATTCAAAATCAGACACGTGTGATATTCCAGAGGGGCTATTTTTGTATTATGAGAAACGGATAAAATATTAATTATTAGAAAATATAAAACGCCATTTCCATTCAAACTATAATGTTATCTATTTAAATAATAATAATACAAGTACCAAACGTCTCCCGTCCATATCGTTTGTTTATTTGTT